GGGGTTCAATGTTGATTGTTGGAGTTGCTGAGATTAAGGTGGTGCCACCATGCAGGTTTTTTTTTTTTTTTTTTTTTTTTTAGTAGAGACGGAGTTTCACCATGTTGGCCATGCTGGTCTCGAATCCCTGACCTCAGGTGATCTACCTGCCTCAGCTTCCCAAAGTGCTGGGATTACAGGCATGAGCCACTCACCCAGCCAACCTTACCTTCCTGGATTGCATGAACGGTATCAAAGGTCTGTCTTCCCACCTTGAATTTCTATTTCTGCCCTCTGGCCCAGCCTCCTTGTGATGAGCAAAGCTATTCATCTGCCTCTCTGGTGCTCTACCCTGAGCAGTCAGCCCCTGGGCTTCACTCCCCAGCTTCCCCAGGACTCCTGCCTGTCTCTGTCCACTGGGGCTTCAGGAGCAGTGACCCTCACTTCAACACCCTTCCTCTCTTTAGGAGGGAAACAGACTGTGACCAAGTCACAGCCCTTAGCTGTAACTCCACTCCTTTCTCTCCAATGTAAGACAGCATATTCCAGAAAAGAAAAACTCAGATTGTGAGAGAATGGGATAGGTGCTATTCAAAGGATGCCCTAAGCTCAAACCTCAGACTCATAACCTATGAGTGACCAGTTTCCCAGTCAGTAAAGCGGGGATAATTAAACGCCCTTCTAAGAATGCTGGAAAGGATAATAGGAACAACAAAGGGCAGATGCTTGGCTGTAGCAGCAGCAGCTGTAGTCCTTACAGATTACTTAGGCTCTAGCAGCATGTCATGACACTTTAGTTAGGAACCACTGGGTAAGTCAATGGATGAACAGCTCCCAGGTAATACATGGATATTTTATGAACTTTGAGAGCTTGTTTGGAGGTTCTAGCAGGGGAGTGAGGCTACTAGTATACCCTTGACTAAAGACTGATCCTCCTCTATTAGGGATGGTTGTCCTCTTCGATCGAGCGCACAGCTTTGGGAGGGACGCACATGGAGCGGTGAGGGAGGAAGGGGACACCCGCCTAGCCAGCCAGATCAGCCAAATCAACCCTGGTGATCAATGGGGTGACAGATGTCACAGCCAGATCGTCCTCACATCCTACATGAGTATTTTATAAGGGCCTCCTGGAGACAATACCTTAAGTGAAGAAAGTAAGAAATGATGGCAATGTCAATCAGTTGACAAATATTTTAAAGACCTAATTACCTGCCTGTCACAGTGCTAACTGGTGTAGAAAAGCCAAAAGAAGCCTAAAACCTAATTTGGCTCCTGCCCTTACAGAGCTTATAATCTACTAGGGAAGAAAAGGTCAATGTACCTGAAATAATAAGGGCCACAGGCATATCTGTGCGATGCAGACACAGAGCTGCCGGCAAGTGCAAGAACCACTAGAAAAGGGAGAGGTCAGAATGTAGGTGCAAGAGCTACTGACTTGCTTGTGGGTGAGGCAAGCCAGCTCTGCTAAATGTCCCTGAGTCATCTGGTCTAAGTTAGAGGGAACATGCCCCACCCTGAGGGGACCAGGCTCCTCAGGTCGAGACATCTGCCCAGGCATGGCCAGGGGCACCTGCAGGCCCTGCCCCCTGTATAACAAGATAGAAAGGAGAGGGTATCAGGGCTGTCTCCATACATAGTCAAAATAAGCTGTGGCCTGTGATATGCAAAGCATTAAGTAGGGGCTATAAGGAATACAGAGGTAAGTAAGGAGGAGGTCCTATCATCAGAGAGCTTACACAGTGCTATCCTGTTGAGTTTCTTGGGGGCAGCTTTTGAGTCTTCTTCGTCTCACTATACCAGCACCCAACTTAGACTCCATCCTAAAGAAGGTGCTCAATGAGTGTGTTGGACAAAACAATCTAGAAAAACGAATAGAAACCCTTCCCTGCAAATGGTAGAATATAAGGCAGAATTCGATTAAATGCAGAAAGATCCAGGCAAAATACTACAGAAGACTAGGAAAGACAGACTGCATCTAGTTAGGTGAAGGCCCTCTAGGCTGTGAGCCCTATTAGGGGAGAAAACGGCATCTGAAGTTCTTGCTGACTTCCACAGCTGTATTTCCAGTGCAGAGCACACAGCAAGTGCTCAATAGTTACCTTTTCCATAAAGGCATGCGGTGGGATTTGACACCAATCTTGGAGGATGGGCAGAATTCAGATAGATGGAGATGGGGCAGAATAAGAGTTAGTTAAGTGTGGCCGGGTGTGGTGGCTCATGTCTGTAATCCTAGCACTTTGGGAGGCCAAGGCGGGCTGATCACCTGAGATCGGGAGTTCGAGACCAGCATGACCAACATGGAGAAACCCCGTCTCTACTAAAAATACAAAATTAGCCAGGCGAGATGGTACCTGCCAATAATCCCAGCTACTAGGGAGACTGAGTCAGGAGAATCACTTGAACCTGGGAGGCAGAGGTTGCGGTAAGCCGAGATTGTGCCATTGCACTCTAGCCTGGGCAACAAGAGTGAACTGTCTCAAAAAAAAAAAAAAAAAAAGTTAAGTGTATTTGTCTTTTTCTTTTTTGTTGTTGTTTGTTTTTTTGAGATGGAGTCTCACTCTTCACCCAGGCTGGAGTGCAGTGGCACGATCTTGGCTCACTGCAAGCTCTGCCTCCCGGGTTCACGCCATTCTCCTGCCTCAGACTCCCGAGTAGCTAGGACTACAGGTGCCCGCCATCGTGCCCGGCTAATTTTTTGTATAGACAGGGTTTCACCATGTTAGCCAGGGTGGTCTCAATCTCCTGATCTCGTGATCTGCCCGCCTCGGCCTCCCAAAGTTCTGGGATTACAGGCGTAAGCCACTATGCCCGGCGTATTTGTCTTTTTCAAGCAAATAACATCTTGAGGGTAAGGCCCATGATTTATTCATCTTTGCATCACTACGGCATTTTAGTGTTTTGTTGTTGTTTTCTTTTGAGACGGAGTCTCGTTCTGTCACCGAGGCTGGAGTGCAGTGGCACCATCTCAGCTTACTGCAATCTCCGCCTCCCAAGTTCAAGAAACTCTTCTGCCTCAGCCAATCAAGTAGCTGGGATTACAGGCATCCACCACCATGCCTGGCTAATTTTTGTATTTTTAGTAGAGACGGGGTTTCACCACATTGGCCATGCTGGTCTTGAACTCCTGACCTCAATCTGATCTGCCCAATGTGGGCTCCCAAAGTGTTTGGATTACAGGTGTGAGCCACTGTGCCCAGCCCTACAGCATTTTGGTGTAATGCCTGGCACAGTAAAACCTTGATAATTTTTTTTTCTTTTTTTTGAGACAGAGTCCCGCTCTGTCTCCAGGCTGGAGTGCAGTGGTGTGATCTTGGCTCACTGCAACCTCCGCTTCCCAGTTCCAGCAATCCTCCCACCTCAGCCTCCTGAGTAGCTGGAATTACAGGCATGCATCGCCACATCCGACTTTTTATTTATTTTTATTTTTTTTAGTAGAGATGGGGTTTCACCATGTTGTCCAGGCTGGTCTTGAACTCCTGATCTCAAGTGATCTGCCTGCCTCGGCCTCCCAAAGTGCTGGGATTATAGGTGTGAGCCACTGCACCCAGCCAAAGCTTGATAATTTGACTTAAACTGATTTAAAGAGTGTCAAGACATCAGTTAATAGGGTTGCTATATTAGAGAAAAATTTTAAAAGTGTGTCAAGACAATAGTGTTTTGGAAATTGACAGAAAAGGCCAGGCACAGTGGCTCACACCTATAATCCCAGCACTTTGGGAAGGTGAGGCAGGAGGCTCGCTTGAGCCCAGGAGTTCAAGACCAGCCTGGTCAAAATGGGGAAATCCTATCTCTATAAAAAACACAAAAATTGGCCAGGCGCGGTGACTCAGGCCTGTAATTCCAGCGCACTTTGGGAGGCCGAGGTGGGCGGATCATGAGGTCAGGAGATTGAGACCATCCTGGCCAACATGGTGAAACCCCATCTCTACTAAAACTACAAAAATCAGTTAGATGTGATGGTGCACGCCTGTAGTCCCAGCTACTAGGGAGGTGAGGCAGGAGAATCGCTTGAACCCAGGAGGCGGAGGTTGCAGTGAGCCGAGATTGCGCCACTGCACTCCAGCCTGCTGACAGAGCAAGACTGTCTCAAAAAAACCCAAGCAAACAAAAAACAAAACAAAACAAAATTAGCCAGGCATGGTGGCGCACCTGTGGTCTCAGCTACAAGGGAGGCTGAGGCAGGAGTATCGCTTGAGCCTGGGAGGTTGAGGCTGCAATGAGCTGTGATCACACCACTGCACTCCAGCCTGGGTGAAGGAAGGAGCTGATCAATAGTCTCAGATGCCCCAGAAGAGCTGGCTGCAGTGAGCCAAGATCCCACCACTGCACTCCAGCCTGGGCGACAAGAGCGAGACTTCCTTCGTCTCAAAAACAAA